AAAATGCTAAAATTAGCCATTAGATTCACTAGAGCAGTGGGTCCCAACCTTTTTATGTCTGCATGCAGGTGATAGCCACAGCTAGAGGCATTATGTTTTTGGGTTGTCCATACTTTCGTGAACATGACATTTTCAGAATGCTTCAAGGGAATTTCTCTAAATATGGTGTGAACATCAAACTGATTAGAATTTGGTAGTCAAAGGTCAAAGTCAATGTGACCTTGTTCGTTTTATTCTTGTGAATGTGATATCTCAAGAACGCCTTGAGGGAATTTCTTCAAATTTGGCACAAATGTCCAACTGATTTGATGTTGGTTGGTTAAAGGTCAAGGTCACTCTGACCTCTTTCTTCTAATTCTTGTGTTCACAATATCTTGAGAACACTTTGAGGGAATTTCTACAAATTTGGCACAAACGTCTGCTTGGTCTTGGGGATTAACTGTTTCGAATTTGGTTGTCAAAAGTCAAGGTTACTGTGACCTTGTGTCCATCTCATCCTCATGAACGTGATATTTCAAGACACCCTTGAGGGAATTTCCTTAAATTTTGTACAAATGTTTACTTCTGTTTACTTGTGTTTGACATCACAAAACATGTTTTTGGCCATAACTAAAGAATTTATTAGCTAATTATGACAAAATTTCACACAAATGTCTATTAGGATAAAACAATGAAGAAAATGGTCAAAGGTCAACTTCACTGTAACATCATGATGTCCTGCAAAAACACTACTCTGGCCAATTCCAGTTTTTAACTGTGGCAGCTCATTGCAATAACTTTGTATGTTTGATTAAACTGTCATCTATTTTTCCCTGCATGACCATCAACCGGTTCTGAAAAGGGAATGAGTAAGTCACCACCCGTCCCCATTTATTTCACAACTTTAAACGCAGGACAGGCAGGAACTTGATTATTTCAAAAACAAATTCTCACAAGTTCAATCTGAAGGCAGCATTAGTCTGCTTTAATCAATGAACTAAGGATAATGTATCACCAGGGCTTCTGTAATACAGTCTCTACATTTTTGATACCACAGTGAAATTGATACTGAGGGCATAGAAGTTGAATTGATGACTTTTCTTTTCTTGGTTAGTAACAGAGAACATCAGAATGATTGTAGTAAAAGCAACAATAAGAGAGAGTGAGAAACTGGTACTGGTGTATCGATACAGCTGAAAATGAGCATTGCAAATGTTCAGAAATTCAGAATCAACATGTGTTATTAATTAATCAATATCTGATTGATTTAACATTACTCTTGTGTGTTCTCACCCTCCGGTTGGTAAAGTAGCTGAAGCACTCCTTCACCAGAATGGTTTTCAACATGTCGGGGTCCATCACAACCAGCATGGGCTTCCTGAGCTCATATGTACTGAACATTTACACAAACACACATTTACATATTTGGGCATCCAGTGTAAAGCTCTTATCAGTGTAGCAGGAGAAACACTAGCAACACAAGCAACTAGGTAAGAGGCTCAGGGGTCAAAACCAGTAAAAAAAAAAAAAGCTTAGTAGTCTCACCCCCATACTCTGCCATACTTCTGAGCACACTCTTTGTCATCCAAGTAGTACACCTGGTAACAGAGAACGCATACATGTATTCATCACCAGTGTTGGTAGGTAACTAATTACATGGAATTAAATTACAAAATAAATGTAATTGTAATCAGTTACAGTTAATGAGAAGAAATATGTAATTGAATTACACATACTCATCAAATGTTGGTGATTAAGAAGGGGTTACATTAATACACTGATCAGCCAAAACATTAAAGCCACTGGCGGGGTAAGTGAATAACATCTTGTTACAGTGCAATGTTCTGCTGGGAAACCTTGGGTCCTGGCATTTATGTGGATGCCACTTGACGTGCTCCACCCACCCGACTACCGTTGCAGACAAAATAAACTCCCTCATGGCAACAGCACTGGTCGATGGTAGTGGCCTCCAGCAGGACAATGCACCACGCCACACCACGAAAACTGCTCAGGAATGACCGCAGGAATGGGACAAAGAGCCCAAGGTGTCGACTTTGCCTCCTAATACCCCAGATCCTAATCTGATCGAACATTTGAGGGATGTGCTGGTACCCCAGAGGTACCCCAATCCATGGTGGGTCCTCCTTGGACAGGACTTGGCTCTGACCTGTCAAAGCATGAACACAGGACCTCTGGAGGGTGTCCTATAGTGTCTGGCACCAGGGCGTTGGCTTCAGATCTTTTTAGTCCTGTGGACTATAAGCTTGGTAGGGGGTGTCACAGGTGGATGACAGCAATGGATTATGGACAGCAGCAAGTGTTTAGAAAAAAAAAATCTATACTAAAATTAAAAATTACAAAAATATGCATGTAAAACAAAGGAAAGATTACTTAAATTGTAGCTGTACAAAACACATCAAATAAGGTCTAGTATTTCTAAAAATAATGATAATAATAATACTGTACAATAATGTACTAAAAGTAAAAATTAATAATTAAAATTAAAATAATAATAATAATAATTATTGATTATTAATTTTAGTACAGGTTCCTTTTTTTTCTTAACACTTCAAAATGGCTCCTTATAATCTATTGGTGTCACCCACCTGTGCTCACTTACTAATCAGGATTGAGTGATACCCCCTACCACTGAAACCTGGCTCTTCAGATGTTTCCCATGCTCTCTCATGCCTGACAGATATAAAAACATGGATGTCTAACAACTTTCTCCAACTAAACGAGTCAAAAACAGAGGTTCACCCCATCTAGCTCCAGCACCTGCAATCCTGAAAGTCTCCCCTCTACTTTTAGCCTCCAGAAAGAGGCTCGAAATCTTGGTGTCATCCTTGACTCAGAACTATCTTTTGATTCACAGATAACGAAGGTAGTACAATCATGTTTTGGGCACCTGAGACAATTAGCAAGAATCCGACCGTTCCTCTCTTCCACTGACTTGGAGAAGGTTGTCCATGCTTTTATCTCCTCAAGACTTGATTACTGTAATGCTCTGTACTCTGGGATTAGCAAGGGAAACATCCGTCGACTGCAACTTATTCAGAATGCTGCTGCCAGGCTTTTAACAGGTACAAAGAGAAGTGACCACATCTCTCCAACCCTTGCTGCTCTCCACTGGCTGCCTGTGAGTTTTAGAATTGATTTTAAGATTTTACTACTTGTTTTTAAAGCCTTAAACGGTCAGGCTCCCGCCTATATCCGTGACTTGCTTTTACCCTGCTTTGCTTATGGTCCCAAGGTCCCGTCTTATCACAAAAGGTGACCGGGCCTTCGCTGTCCGTGCTCCGCAGCTGTGGAACTCCCTGCCCGGCGATCTCAGGCAGGCAAGCTCAGTGGATTCTTTTAAATCTCTTCTAAAGACTCACTTTTATCGATTGGCCTTCTCTTAATCCTGTTTTATTATTGCTGTACTGTATGTTTATTTTGTTGGGGATGGGTGTTTTTAAGTTAATTTTTTAAGGCCAATTTTATTTCTCTTGGTGGTTTTTTATGCTGGCAATTGTATTGTATGTGATATGTTTTATCTCTGTTGTACAGCACCTTGTAACTCGTTTTTGAAAGGTGCTATATAAATAAAGTTATTATTATTATTATTATTATTATTATTATTATTATTACCAAGCTCATAAAATGTTTGCTTGATTCCTGTCCACCATTTTGCACCCTGAGGAAGACTTTAGGGTTGAAACTGGTCAGTGTTTTAATGTAAGCAGCCATGTTTTGAAATAAAGGCTTTTTAACTTAATTCAAATGCATCTGTTCCTGCTCCACACAAGTGTCTTAAGTTCATCTTTTCTTCCCGCATGTGCTGACCCTTTTCTTCAACCTTGAGTATCATATGACAAAGACAGTCCTCGAGCACACTGCTACCTCATTCTCCAAACAAGTACAATGATCATTTACATTTGGAAAAAGGATTTATAAAGGTTTACATACAGGGTTAAGCCTGCAAACTGAGCCCAAGAACATGAGGGGCTTGGGACCTGGGATCCCCATCTTCTTAAATGCCCCATAAGTCCAGTTGCCATACCTGTGTGCAGAACAAAAAAGCAATAAATCACGACTTTAAATTCACATTTTGAAACACTTAACTTTGAAGTCAAAAGTAAACATAGGTAATTTGGTGAAGCACAGATAAAATCACACTCTGATCCTTACATAACAAATAAACAGATAAATGTCATCAGTAGAATCCATGTTTCTAAAGAGAAGAAAGGAAGGTAGTCCATCGTTCTCTCTTGTTCAGCAGAGTTGTAATGTCGTCAGATTTGCACTGAACTCATGAACTGCATGTCCAGGAGGTGTGGCGTCTTTGCACAGCATTACATAAGAACCTAGCCACTTCCCCTCCTGTGCAGCAACAACAACAGCAATAGTACTCGAGTTAAAGCCACACACACATCCGAGTACTTGCCTGGACATGTCTTTGTGTGAGCACATTGCAAATGAATATGTCGAAATAAAACAATATGACAACCACACACCTGAGAATATGTATCTACATATGTTTAGGGGAAAATGTGTTCAGTAACGTGGTTGTGTTTCAGTCTTGTCCACTAATACCAGAAAATATAATGTTAGCCAAGAAGAAACTAAAATTACTTTTATATTTGAGTCCTTATAGTCCTTGAAAACCTAAATTACAAATAGCAGGAGCTATAAAAGAATAATAATCTAAAAGTAAATTTAAAAAACAATTACTTAAACATGTTATCATGAGCTTTGCACGTGCTCTATCTATCTTAACACATGCAATGTGATAATTAAGGTCACAAAACTGCCGAGTCATAGATGACAGCGTTATTAAAACTTGATTATAAATGCTACTTGGTTTCTTTGCGTCAATGATCTACTTGGTCCTGCCTCCTGCAACTGGCTCAACTCTCACACACTTCTCTTGCTCACGTAACAGGTCTGTGCAGCAGGAAATAAAAGCCCTGGGTCCGTGATTTTAGGATTCAGTGGATCTGGCGCTACCATTGAAAGAAGAGTAGAAACGTGCAGAGATGGGCTTCCTGTTCTCCGCTGAGACATGGACTCTCCTGGTGGCTCTCATCACACTTATAGTTTTGTAAGTGCCTGAAAATATTTGTCCCAGGTATCTGTAGTGTGTTTAAGTGTGTTGCACTTGTGATTTTAAATCTCTTCTCCTGTTTTGCAGGTATGTCTGCTGGCCATATGGAACATTTAGGAAATTGGGCATCCCTGGTCCCAAACCAGTCCCTTTTTTTGGCACCATGCTGGCATACAGAAAGGTTGGTGAATATAATTGTCAGAAGCATTACACCATAGATTTATATGAGGGTGTACAACCTTAGCAAGGTGATAATGGGTGTAATGGCTTGGGTATATGTCCTCACGTGACTTGTATTGTGAATTCAAAGAGGATTTTTGAAGTTTCTACTTTGTGAAAAATTAAGGAACGCACAGGCTATTTGTAATCTTAGTTTCTAATAGCAGAGTTCCTAAAATACAGGAAAACAAAAAGGTTTGCAAAGGAATAACAGGATTGTAATTTACGTAATGACAGCTGCCTGGGGGTGAATAAACATTTTGTTTGACTGTAGAAACACAAACATTGTTAAGTATAGGAAGATTAGTGATAAGAAATTATTGTAGACAGATAACCCAAGAACGCTATGTGCCTTCTTGAGTAATTTTCTGCCCCTATTTAAATGACTCATTTGGTGCTAATGATCTTTTCTGGTTCTTTACCTTTGTATTGCTGTCTTGTCCTATGTTTGTACTCCATACCACAATTTGTGGTCTAGATTAAATCAATATGAATCTGAATTTTAAGTACATTGGCAAAGTGGTAACATTATCTGTCTTTTCTGCCCTGGTAATATCTAAACTTTGCTTGCTGATAAAATGTAATGCCCCTGTACTTAATTATGACGGAGTTTTAAAAAAAAAACATGGGGTTTAACAGTGCGTATATCACAAGACGCATAGTTGTAGAGTTAAGATCACTGAACAGATGAAGTGTTACACAGTTTTACAGCTTTTTTCAACAGGGTTTTACTTCGGTAAATTGACAGGTGAATGGAGGTGATTGTGAAAAATGATATTTGCTTTTCAGACACAATGTCCTGTTTACTCAGGATCATCCACTCATGTTGCTAAAGACTGTTTTCAGGAGAAAATACAACAGGAGTATTTGGTAGAAAATAGTAAAGTGAATTAATTTCAAGGGTTTAAACTTCTTAGGAGAGGGGAAACTATAACAGTCTCTTTGAGTTTTTATATGAAAATTTATAAATAAAAGAGGAAGTATCTCAGTTGTGTTATAACGTTTTGGTGATTTAAGGTCCCATTCTCTTTTTATCTGTAATCTGTCAGTGATTAAAATTGTTTTATTTTACTGCTATTTAACAGACTGGTATCAGCTTTGAAGTGAAGACGTAACCTGAAGAGTAAACTGTTGGTCATGTTAACGCGCACCATGTAGCGACGCCAGCTTTAGTTCTTATATCATTCAGAATTAAACAGAGGTGTGGACTCAAGTCACATGACTTGGACTCAAGCCAGACTTGAGTTACAAAGTTGATGACTCAAAACTCTTCACAAAAACAAAAATGACCTACAACTTGACTTGGACTTTAACATCAATGACTTGAGACTTCACTTGGACTTGAGTCTTTTGACTTGTAAATTCTTGATACCTTCCCCACAAACCAATTTTGAAAGAGGAAGTTACAGACATTTTTCCAATATGAGATGACATAAAAACAAGTCAGGACAGAAACATACAAATTCATTCTGTTGTGGTCAGTAGTGTTGTATGCTATGAAAGTACAATGTCACCTCTACTCCTTTAAGTTCAGTCGCGTATGCTTTAACAGATCATTACAATTTTGAAAAGAATAAATGATTTTTGTTATTTTACTTTATTATTACTCTGTTGTTGAAACCTAATTAAATTGGCTGAAGAGACAAGAGAGCATTATGACTTGTTGAGGACTGGAAACTCAAAGTTTAAGACTTGAGACTTGACCTGGGATTTGTCAGTGTTACTTGGGACTTGAGTGCAAAAACTTGAGACCTACTTGTGATTTGCAAAACAATGACTTGGTCCCTCCTGTGGAATTTAACACTGTTATTATTAATAATTTACATATTGAAACATGATTTTTTTTTTTTTGCTACAAATACAGGATGTCTGCTTTATGTTAAAGCAGACTGAAGATTTGAAGGTGTTGATTTTATAATCTGTATATTATTACTCTTGTTCCCAGGGATTCATCAACTTTGACGCAGAATGCTTCCAGAAATATGGGAAAACCTGGGGGTAAGTCTGCATGTTGTACAGTGGGTGTGTGTTCCTGCATACATATCATGTATACCTGATTGTTGTCCTTGGAGCTGCTTGTATGTCTCTGTTTAAAATGTTGTATGCCTATCTACAGGGTTGATTTGTATGTGACTGCATTAAAATATCACCTGGTGTTTTATAACTCTTCTATTAATATTCTGTTTTGTTTTTTCAAGCATTTATGATGGCCGTCAGCCCGTGCTGTGCATCACAGATCCTGCCATGATCAAGACTGTTCTGATAAAGGAGTGTTACTCTCTCTTCACCAATCGCAGAGTATGCACACTCACTATAAAACACATTCTAACCACTCATTGCAGTCGCTTGAAGTCCCCTCATCGTCGGCATGTGTTTCCTGACTCTGTTACAGAACTTCCGTCTGAATGGGCCACTGTACGATGCCGTGTCCATCGCTGAGGATGACCAGTGGAGGAGGATCCGCAGCGTCCTCTCTCCCTCCTTCACGTCAGGAAGGCTGAAAGAGGTGCATGCCCTTTCCTGCTCTGTACCATCTCTGCCTTTTATTGCATGTTAAACAAAACATTCCTGACCAGTTTTCCTTGTGGCCCTTTGAGATGATGCAATGTTTACTTTTAGCCCTCATCACAGTATATGGTCTCAGTGTGTACATATAAGCTGCTTTAGAGCCTTAAAGAGGTGAAAGTATTTAGTATTTTTCATACAAAAAAAGCAAACATTAGAGAAGAGTCAGAAAAACAAAGGTATTTTTGTGTAACAGAAATATTTATTTTCTTTCTTTATCCATTTTATCATCTTGTGGACCCTATCCTGGCACCCATTTTTGGGGTGCTGACCCCCGGGGTTGGTAACCACTGATCTAGAGGAAACACAAACACAGACAGCAGGGACTCTTTGCTATTTTATTGTATTGTGCGTTCTATTCTCCATTATTTCAACCTGTCTTTATGTCCATCTGTCCTTTTCTGTGCCTCAGATGTTTGACATCATGAAACACCACTCTGCTAACCTGATCAGCAGCATGAAAAAGAAGGCAGACAAGGATGAGCCCTTGGAGCTGAAGGAGTAAGGACGCTATTCCAGCAAATGCATTGAATCAACTACTGTTAAGCATGAAAGGATGAGTCATCTCTCATGTGTTTGTTTTCTCTGTAGGTTCTTTGGACCCTACAGTATGGATGTGGTAACCAGCACGGCCTTCAGCGTCGACATCGACTCACTCAACAACTCCTCGGACCCTTTTGTCACTAACATCAAGAAGATGCTGAAGTTTGACCTGTTCAACCCTCTCTTCCTCCTTGTTGGTACAGACTTCATATTATGCCTGTAAAATGCAGCTGCTTAGAATTTTGTCCTTCACCTGGCTGGAAAAAACAAAAATGTCTGTGAGTGTTTACAGTCACTGTCTGTCCTGTGTCCTCGGTAAATATGTTGCTTTCTACCTCATTCCAGCTTTCTTCCCCTTCTTGGGTCCCATTTTTGAGAAGTTAGAGTTTTCCTTTTTTCCTGCATCCGTCACGGACTTCTTTTACGCCGCACTGCAGAAGATCAAGTCTAACCGAGAGCACAGCAAACAACAGGTATGGGTTTCTGTGCATGTGCATATAAATAAATACATGTATCTGCAGATTCAGAAAAATAATCAAAGTTATTCTCATATATGTCTTCTTTCAGGGTCGAGTGGATTTCCTTCAGCTGATGATCGACTCCCAGAAAAACAACGACCACAGCAATGTGGAGCAGGAAAAAGGTGATGCACACATCAGTCAGACACCTTACATCTTCATACAATCAGGTACTGAAAATAATGGACAAAAAACCTGCCCGGTGGCATCACTGTCACATATTAGAGCTATGACAGCTTCATTAACTTTTGTCTCCTGAAATTAGTTTTCAAATGAATCAGCAGTCTAGCTCCAGATCATTTTTCCAGATTTATTCAAAGAGAAGACAGTAATAGAGTAACAAGGAGGAGCATGAATTCCACTTGTAAAATATCATATTGTAAATCTGAATTCGGACAGTTCGCGTTTTCCATAAAGCGCTGTAAACTCTGGAGCACATTACCAACTGAGATCAAACTGATTCTAGATTTAAAATCCTTCACAACAAAGGTCAAATACTGGCTAAAAGCAAACCAGAGCTGTAACCACTCACAAACCTCTAAGGGGTATTAGTGTATTGTGGTATGTGTATAGTAGTATGTATGTTGTCATATATATGTATACGTCCTTCATGCACCGTCAGTATATGTATTGTCGGCATATTTTGTGATATATGAGAAATGAAATGAAATGAGGCTTGTCTAACATCATCTTGGAGGTTAGGTTTGTGCTGCATGATAACAAAACGCTGCTTCAAAATGTTTTGTTCTTATCTACATACACACAAAAGCACAACTTTAGCTATTCTAAATAATTTCCCTTCCTATCTCCCTAGGTTTAAACGATCACGAGATCCTCTCTCAAGCGATGATTTTCATCTTCGCTGGCTACGAGACAAGCAGCAGCTCTCTCACTTTCTTGGCTTACAATCTGGCGATTAACCCTCATATCATGGAACGGCTGCAGAAGGAGATCGACTCCACCTTCCCCAGTAAGGTACATTGAGAGAAGGGAGAGGACAATGTTTGAGGTGGTAGGAAGGTCACAAAAATAATTTAAGGCTGTTTGCATTTTTTTTGTCCACTTGGGGGCAGAGGAACTCCACAGCAACTTCACAAATCCATAGATTGCATACATAGAGTGCTGCAGGGATGATGTGTATTTGTAGGCCAAGACAGAAGTTAGCATCGCCCGGGTTTCCATGACAAAATTTTGGATTATTGCAGAAGATACGCTCTGTGGCCAGCAAATGTTTATCACACTGTTTTGTTCAGCAAGATAATCTTCACAAATGAACACCACTTTATGATTATTTTAAACTTAAATTTAATGCCAGATGTAAAAAGCTAACATGAGGCTATAAAACAAACTACACCACTGTCGCATGACATCATCGTTGCCACCACAACAAGGCTGTAAATCCTTATTCAGTGTGATGGCGTTCTGTAGTTTGATTTAGCCACTTGTTAGTAACTGTCTTTTTTAAGACACGTAAAGGCAAAATATACGTGTGGGGTATTTACTGATGTTTTTATGCTGTAGAACAAAATGCTGAGTCTCATAAACAGACCTTATTTCAGGCATCTAACCAAGAACTAATTAAAATAACCCACTGATTTCGAAGACGAGGGAATTGTAAGTGCAAAAATGTGAACTAATTTGGGGGTTTTAGGACTCGTTCCTTCACCACTCTATTATCGCAAAGTCTGATGGCTACCATGCTTATCTACACATCCAGCTGGCACAGAGCAACATTGACAGTCATAACAAGTTGTGTTTCTGCCAACCTGATGAATTTCAGTGAGATATTTACTTTTCTTTCAGCTGTGGTTTGACTCTAATGAGAATATGCATCATTAGCTGCTAGTTGTTTAACGCTAAAATGCGTGTTCTCATGCTGCACATAAGCAAACATGCACTTGGATATGTTTGAATGACTCTCTGCGTGGTCTTACATGTATCTTCTGTGAATTCGGATTTAAGTTCACCAGCTTTTCGCTAACACTGTGTCCATCTGCTCATTGGTGTAGAATGACTGAATGAATCTTTGTTGTCATTACACAAGATGTACAATGAAATTCCATTTGACTTCCACGGTGTAAGAACGATTAGAAACACACACACACACACACACACAAAGTTAATAGCAAAAAAAGTGTCAGTGCAACTTTAAAATAAAATAGTATCAGCAGCAGTGATGGTGCATGTTTCACCCTGTGTGTTATGGTGGAGCAATGGAGGCCACAGCTCTGGGACAGAAGCGTTGCTAAAACATACACAAACAACACTAAACCGAGAGAGAGCCGCCATCTTTCTGGTTGAGGATACATTCAGAGATTCTTTAAAAACAAGGTCGATCGAAATGGAATGTGCCCATTTCCAGCCTTTATGCTAAGCTAAGCTAACCGACTGAAGGCTGTAGCCTTATATTCACCAGACAGACATGAGGGTGGTATCAGTCTTCTGATCTAAACCTTTAACAAACATACAGTACAGGCCAAAAGTTTGGACACACCTTCTCATTCAATGCGTTTTCTTTATTTTCATGACTATTTACATTGTAGATTCTCACTGAAGGCATCAAAACTATGAATGAACACATGTGGAGTTATGTACTTAACAAAAAAAGGTGAAATAACTGAAAACATGTTTTATATTCTAGTTTCTTCAAAATAGCCACCCTTTGCTCTGATTACTGCTTTGCACACTCTTGGCATTCTCTCCATGAGCTTCAAGAGGTAGTCACCTGAAATGGTTTTCCAACAGTCTTGAAGGAGTTCCCAGAGGTGTTTAGCACTTGTTGGCCCCTTTGCCTTCACTCTGCGGTCCAGCTCACCCCAAACCATCTAGATTGGGTTCAGGTCCGGTGACTGTGGAGGCCAGGTCATCTGCCGCAGCACTCCATCACTCTCCTTCTTGGTCAAATAGCCCTTACACAGCCTGGAGGTGTGTTTGGGGTCATTGTCCTGTGGAAAAATAAATGATCGTCCAACTAAACGCAAACCGGATGGGATGGCATGTCGCTGCAGGATGCTGTGGTAGCCATGCTGGTTCAGTGTGCCTTCAATTTTGAATAAATCCCCAACAGTGTCACCAGCAAAACACCCCCACACCATCACACCTCCTCCTCCATGCTTCACAGTGGGAACCAGGCATGTGGAATCCATCCGTTCACCTTTTCTGCGTCTCACAAAGACACGGAGGTTGGAACCAAAGATCTCAAATTTGGACTCATCAGACCAAAGCACAGATTTCCACTGGTCTAATGTCCATTCCTTGTGTTTCTTGGCCCAAACAAATCTCTTCTGCTTGTTGCCTCTCCTTAGCAGTGGTTTCCTAGCAGCTATTTGACCATGAAGGCCTGATTAGCACAGTCTCCTCTTAACAGTTGTTCTAGAGATGGGTCTGCTGCTAGAACTCTGTGTGGCATTCATCTGGTCTCTGATCTGAGCTGCTGTTAACTTGCAATTTCTGAGGCTGGTGACTCGGATGAACTTATCCTCAGAAGCAGAGGTGACTCTTGGTCTTCCTTTCCTGGGTCGGTCCTCATGTGTGCCAGTTTCGTTGTAGTGCTTGATGGTTTTTGCGACTCCACTTGGGGACACATTTAAAGTTTTTGCAATTTTCCGGACTGACTGACCTTCATTTCTTAAAGTAATGATGGCCACTCGTTTTTCTTTAGTTAGCTGATTGGTTCTTGCCATAATATGAATTTTAACAGTTGTCCAATAGGGCTGTCGGCTGTGTATTAACCTGACTTCTGCACAACACAACTGATGGTCCCAACCCCATTGATAAAGCAAGAAATTCCACTAATTAACCCTGATAAGGCACACCTGTGAAGTGGAAACCATTTCAGGTGACTACCTCTTGAAGCTCATGGAGAGAATGCCAAGAGTGTGCAAAGCAGTAATCAGAGCAAAGGGTGGCTATTTTGAAGAAACTAGAATATAAAACATGTTTTCAGTTATTTCACCTTTTTTTGTTAAGTACATAACTCCACATGTGTTCATTCATAGTTTTGATGCCTTCAGTGAGAATCTACAATGTAAATAGTCATGAAAATAAAGAAAACGCATTGAATGAAAAGGTGTGTCCGAACTTTTGGCCTGTACTGTATAACAGAATGGTCGTTTTGTCATGTATCTGTGTGTCTATGTGTTTGTGTAGGGTCCTGCTGAGTACCAGGCTCTGATGCAGATGGAGTATCTAGACAGTGTCATCAATGAGTCTCTCCGATTGTACCCCATAGCCCCACGTTTAGAGCGTGTGGCCAAGGCGACTGTGGACATAAACGGTGTTGTGATTCCAAAAGATATGGTTGTCATGGTACCCACATGGCCCCTGCACCGGGACCCTGAACTGTGGCCCGAGCCTGAGAAGTTCAAACCTGAGAGGTAGCTATAGAAAGGATTTATATGTTAAGGTTTACCAAAACAGTCATGGACAGGACCTGAGCTCTGCGGGTCATCGCCTCATTTCTGTTATTGATATATTATTGTGTGTGTGTGCCCTCAGGTTCAGCAAGGAAAACAAGGAGAGTATTGATCCGTACACCTACATGCCTTTTGGGGCAGGGCCAAGGAACTGCATTGGGATGCGATTTGCCCTGGTGATGATGAAATTAGCAATGGTGGAGATCCTGCAGAGGTACAGCTTCGCAGTGTGCAAGGAGACTGAGGTGAGACCACAGATGTTCATCTTTACACTGCTTGTTATTGCTTTCTTTTTATGGCGTATGAGTAATCATTTTTTATGGCATATGAGTAATCCTGTCCAAATTGTTATTTATTGCCAGTTTGATTTGGATATTGAAGGTTATATAACGCCAAAGATAGCCAGTTATGAGTGTTGTAAAGATCTGCCTGTTTAAAGATGAAAAGCCACAACCTGACACTGTAAACAAGAATACAATTGATACTGTGTGTACGAAAATAGCAAACTCAATAAATACGCTGTCCCTCTAGGTTTCTATCCTTTGTGATACTGCCAGCTGTTTGTTTCATGCATCTTTGACCTCTTTTTTAATCACTTCTTTTCTCTTTGCATGTAATTTCCTGCCAGATCCCCTTAGAGATGGACATCCAGGGCCTGCTGCAGCCAAAACGACCAATCAAACTGAAGCTGGTGCCACGTTCTGAACCCTCCAACTAAAATAATCAACATAAAGGATCAATCATTTTAACTATGCTGTATAGAGACCTATTGTGAACAAACACTATGTCCATTTTCATCATGGTAATAGTACAGATGTGTGTACATCTGAATAGATCACCTCTCTTTTTTGTTCCTGTCAAAGCTTTTTTTAGCTTTCATTCAAAACTGAGTGACACATGAATGATTTGTAAAGCCTGTGTTAATAATAAAGGATAGTTTGGATTTTTCTCATGCGCACTGTCATTCTTGTCTGTGATCTGATCACTGTTATAGCAACGTGCATCTTACATGAGCCACAAATGGTCAAAATGTGACTGAACACCAGACGCCAGACAGAGACATTTTTGATACTTACAAAGACGTTTTGAAGAACATGAGTGACATTTCCCTTTCCTTACCTTTTCAAGCTGGCATATTCGGTCTGATTTAATGGTGACACGTATATTAATGATGATGATTTTATACCTCATATTTATAATTCTGATTTTGTCTAGTCATTTTAGTAACTTTTATTGTATATTAATCTCATCGGAGCCAGTGAGACTCAAAAGACTGTGACTAAACCGATGAGAAGGAGGACATTGAACAAACTGTTATCCATCATGGATAATCCTATCCACCCTTTTCACCACATACTGGACAGACAGTGGAGCTCTTTCTCCAACAGACTGATACAGCTTCACCGTCCCAAGGAACGACACAGGAAAACATTCCTCCCCCAAGCCATAACGCTATATAACACACTCACAGCTCTCTACAGTCGCTCCTTTATAGCTTAATAACCATTTGTTTGCACTTTATTATTGCACTTTATTTTTATTTATTCCTGTATATTTCTCTTGTATATTTTAAATGTTAGTACTACTTATTTTTGTTTTTCGTATTTTATATTTCTATATTCTAATGTTCACATATTGTTTGATTACTTGCTGCTGTAACAGATTGGGATAGATAAAGTACTATCTATCTATCTATCTATCTTACTGAATTGTTTGATTTTATGATCTGTGGATACATTGCTGCTTGTTTTTTTGTTTTTTTTTACCATGTCTTGTAAGGTGTCCTTGAGTGCTCTGAAAGGCACCTATGAATAAAATGCATTACGATTACTAGTAGTAGTAGTAGTAGTAGTATTTCTTTCCCAATCTGGGGTATGAGCTGAGGTCAGGTGCACAAAATAACTCAAAACATAATACTGTAACCACACAGCAGCACCACCCACTATTGTTTCATGGCTTAACCATACAGTTAAATCAACACTTTGCTGATAACAGAAGCTTTACCAAAGGGCGCACTGATGTTTATTACAGGCTGATTGCTCAGGCTTTCATTATATTTTGCAGGTGTACATGAATTTCTTTCCACCCTGTGTTAAATATGGGACTAAAATAAAAAAAGAGGGTTTATTTAGATATCAGCCAGGCAGTGCGTTAGTGTTTGACAAGGTATTTCAGTAATAAAATGCATTAAGTAGCCCACTGTGACTGTCCTAATTACTGTGTGTGTGTGTGTGTGTGTGTGTGTGTGTGTGTGTGTGTGTGTGTGTGTGTGTGTGTGCGTGTGTCTGTCTGTCTGTCTTTCTGAATGTTACAGCGCACTCGTGTGGAAGGTCTGTTTTCAGTTTTTGTTCATTTATTGCCCATGGGCTCCTGCTACCTCATAAATCCATTATCCATGTTTTTCAACCATCTTGTTCTTTCCATGTTTATAAACAGAGGGTAGAGATAAAAAAAAAAAAAAGACAGGAATGAAAAGAAAAGAAAATTCTGAGGTGGGCAAACCAGCTACACTGCAGACACCACATGTTCTTGGTGCTAGGATTGAAGAAGTTTTCACAGATTATCTGATGGAAATAGCTGAAATCTGTGATTTTACACCAAATCTGTGACCTCTCTTTTTTTCCATTTACTTTGATTTGCGTCCAAACTGTGCCACAACATAATGAACTCTTATCTCCTTGGATCTGTTTCAATGGCTGTAACCTGTGTGATTTAGCAGTTTAGTTTTATCATTATGCTTGTTTGACAGAGCCTTACGCACAGATTCAAACTTACTGAGACATGCAAACAAAGAAAGACACTAAACTGTAATACATTTGCAATTCTGAGTAACACCACGTAAGTAACAGCAGATCATAAATCTCGAGATACTAGCACTGATCTCAACCTCGAGTTTCCTGGTGTGACGACATGAACTGCAGCCTATCGGCCGAGGTGCCCAGATCAGGCCCAGATGTGGCATTCAGGGAAGAGAACTTACAGCCATGATGGCAACAATGTTGAGGAGCACTTTACTGTCATCATTTGTTATCCCTCAGTGTCCTGCATTACTGTAGGCTACACTTCTGATGTCAATAACATTGGTATCACGTTTTGTGAGGTGGATTTCCTGCAACTTTCTCTTGTGCACTTAAATCAAAATTGAGGAAACTTGTTCCTGCATTAGAACGGCACCAATAATCTTGTGTCATATTTTTGTCTTACTCATTATACTTCACTTTATTCTTTTTTAGTTGACTCTTTCCTTCTCAACCGTGTTTTAAATATTGTAATGCTTATTTGCCTCTTGTAAAGAGACAAGAGTACAGTATAAAGAGGTACTAAATTATGTTTCCCAGGTCCCTGTGTAAAACAAGTTAGTTTACACAAGTTTAAAAGATGCAATACAAATGCTATATTAGATCCTATACGAGAAACATTTATTAAATATAAACGTTTAGCCAAGAGAAGACATTTATGTGATTTTTTGAATGATTATATCATGAAGACGGTCCTGCTGTAACTTTTTTTTTTTTTTTAATCAACACAAGGAGGTTATAGAGTGTTAACTGAAAGTGATCATAGGAAATAACACAAAATGCAAACATCAACTTAATCAAATTACAGTGTAAACACAAAGAGTCATGTAAAGGCAGTATTACAAACATATATATAAAGTAACAAACCATATTCATCCATATTGTGAGCAGAAGAGGGTGAAGTTAAATAATATAAACACATTTTATATTAAATCAGGGAATTTTAAGTATTTGATAAACAAGTCTGATATTTTTATGGCTTTGTTGTTTGATGATGTTGTTATTGTATTAAAGTATTGTTTGAGTTCATTTTCAAAGTATTTTCCATTTGGTTTTTTCTTTGCCCATTTTGTTTTGTGAATGTGAAATTTGCCCAGCATGATGATAGTCCGTAACAAGAGGGATAGGTCGTGAGGTATGGAGGGGTTTTCAAAGTGAAAGAGGATGTGGCTTTCCTGGAGGCCGATCCTGTGTCCGTTTTTGTTATGGATTAGGTTTTGTATATGAGTCCAGAGGTTTTTACTGTATGAGCACTGATAAAAGAGGTGGATAATGGTTTCTGGTTCTGTTTGGCAAAAATCACAGTTATAGTCTATGTTTAATTTAAATCTCTCCAGGGGGTTTTGCCGGATATAAATTATGACAGATTTTTGTATGATATTTCTTTGACTTTGTTGTGAATGAGCAGCTTCTCGCCAACCAGCCACGCCGGTCCTGCTGTAACTGTTGAGTTACGCCGCTTACGAAGAGGCCCTGAACGCAGCATCAGTCCCGTTCCTGCGGGGACTCCGGTCCGGTTCTTGCACCGCCTCGGACTCCATGTTGTTCCGACAGCCACGGAGCGAACAAGTGCCCTGGCCGAAAACTCTCACGTTGCAACTTAGTGTGTGCGAGAAGTAAAGTGTGTGTGTGTGCGTGTGAGTGTGTTGACCCTCCGATAGAAGATGGCAGACTACCGGGACGACACCGGAGCGCGAGCCCTGCTTGCTCTACAGTCGGCACCATGCAGTCCCGTGCGCGTCGCGGTGACCTCGCACGCCTATCACCAGCCCTCGCTCGCCCTCTTGGGTCCTCCGGTGATGGATGCCCGCTCCGACGCCGGGATGTTTCCCGTGCGCCTCGCTTGTCCTCCTCCGCAGGCCCTGGCCAGACTCGAGGGCCGGGACTTTGAGTTTGTGATGCGCCAGAGAACGGTCACCATAGGCCGGAACTCGTCTCACGGCTCCGTGGACATCAACATGGGTCACTCGAGCTTCATTTCACGGCGACACCTGCAGATCACCTACGACGAGGCGAACGGGTTCTCCCTCCGGTGTTTGGGCAAGAATGGCGTGTTCGTTGACGGAGTGTTTCAGCGGAGGGGGGCGCCGCCGCTGCCGCTACCAAGAGAGTGAGTGCAGTCAGTTAGCATAGCAGCTACCGACAGGCTAATTATGGTAACACGGTGCTAGTCAAACTTTACAACGTATGCGTTAAGCTAACTAACGGTCAAACTGACGTGAAGGCGGTGTCATGATATGTTTTGTATCCCCTTAGAATCCTATTTCCACCATTACAGGACACCAAACGATTGAGTCAAACTTTAAAACAACATCTAGAAAATTAACACATAACTTATAACTGTTGATAGTTTGGTGGCTGTTCTAGTTTTCCAAATTCATAATGCAAGTTACTGTCAGACGGGAGAACCAGATTGTGACGGGGTTACAAAGTTTGTCATAACACCCCTAATCAGAGTGGTTTGATTTGGAGTGATCTGGTGTCGCTTCATATGAGTGCACTGCAACCTCGGTTTGGAGAGTGAAGCTGTAACATAACAAGCCAGTATGTTTTCACCCGAGTTGTGGAACTGTCATTGTCCCTTCTAGTTTACCTCAACACCACTTTATAGTCCAGTGAATTAAAACAGCTAACGTTAGTTTTAGCCGTTAGCTAACTTGGCTTCATTTGGCCTACCGAGAAGCTATGGCGCAAACTAGTTAGCACATGTCAAAAAACATGGTTCCTGTGCTATTTCGCACATCGTCGTGTTGTAGTGGACCTTGCTTGAATGTTTTTTACACTAATGTTTCCTGACTGCTGGTTAAAGTCGTGTCTCGGCAGTTTCAGGGCGATTATTTTGGCGATAATGTAAGCTAGTCGTGAAGCTGCCAGCCAACGTGTCGCCGTCACGTTAACATTAATGTAAACAAACGCACCCGACAGCTCAGTTCATGAGACTTGTGAGGAGAGGTGTTTGTTTTGTACTGTAACTTGAATTGCGTTGTTTTTTGTTTTTTTTTGTATCAAGAGGAACCATCTGGTGTTTGAATATGGGTTTTCTTTTAACTGTTACTGCACCACTGTCAAAGCAAAATATTCTTGTATCCACTGGGTCGTTGAATACAGTGGCAATCCGAAAAATTGGAGCTTTTGGTTTTGTGTATGTGTGTGT